TATATATATATATAAAATCTATGTATACAGGGAGAAAACGTAAACAATAAATTTGATGGGCTATTTATATAAAGATATCTAATTTCTACAATGAGCAATCTACACTAAATGCCCATTAAACCTAAATTTATTAATATTCTTTACCCATTTTTAAAATAATTACAAAACATACCCACCCCACTCAAATTTATTACCCGATCGTCCAACATAACTCTAGTCCTTCAGTCACAAGAGACTCCTAAAGCCAAACTGATAAACTTTCCGAGTTATTCTTTGGTTAATCAATCAAAAACAAAGTAACTTTCTTTAAATTCTAATTTTTTGCAAGATTGTTGGTTCTGAAAATGGCTAAACTTTTTCTTTGTTTCTCTCCCTCTTTCTTTCGGTTTCATTTTTAAATTCAGTATTGAATTAGCTACTAATTTATTTAGTATTTGGATTAGCTAAGCATATAATTCAATTATGGCAAAATTTCAAACTAAATAAAAAAGAATGTAAACTCCATGTGCATAAGTTTAAAATTTCAAATATGATTTTCATGTGGCTTTTGAAGTGTTTATTGTTGGAATTTAGTGGGGTTATGACGTGTAGATTGTGGTGTTAATGATGATTTTGAAAGATTTAATTGTGATAAACATTAATCTGCTATTGGAGGACCTTGAAGCTTGAAACTCACAAATTGGGTTTGCTGAGAGTATATTTTTAAATTTTCGGTTGAAATTGAGTTGAACTAGCAAAGAAGACAGATATTGTATACCAAAATGGTATATTGTATACTGTATTGGTATACAATAATTAATTCAAAAGTATATAATTAACTACAATAGTGTACTACTAATTTATTTTGAAGGAATGAGCCAATCCTCTATATACCAAAATAATATATTATATACCGTTTTGGTTAATTCAATAGTGTATAATTTATTGCGTTGAACTGAAGAAGAAGAATTTGTATTGTATACCAAAATAATATACTATATACATTTTGGTATACAGTTCATTCCAATGATATACTATTGTGATGACCCAAAAGGTCATCTTATGTATTAGAACTCTATTTCGTGTTCCGAGGCCTTCAAAACCTCATTTTATTCCTTCTCAATTTGTGTGTGTAGTCCGTACGTATTTCCGGAAAGCTTTTATGTTGAAAGTTAATAAAAATAATAATTTTTGCCTTTAAAAGTTGATTTAGTTGACTTTGGTTAATGTTTTGAGTAAACGGATCTGGACTCGTATTTTGACAGTCCCAGTGGGTCCGTATCGAAATATGGGACCTGGCGTATGCCCTGAATCGAATTCCGAGGTCTCTAGCCTGAGAAATGAATTTTTGATGAAAATTCAAAGACCGAAAATCAAATGGTTTTAAGAATTTGGTTAATGTTTAATTTTGTTGGTATCGGGCCCGTATTTTGGTTCCGGAGTCCAATACAGATCCGAAATAATATTTATACCTTATCTGGGAAATTTGATGAGAGACAGAACTGATTTGACATGATTCGGACGTCCGATTGTGAAAATAGTAATTTCAAAGTGTTGTTGAGAATTTCATGTAATTTGGTGCTAAATTCGTAGTTCTAGGTGTTATTTTGACAATTTGATCGCACAAGAAAGTCTGTATGATGTCTTAGACTTGTGTGCATGTTTGGTTTGGAGCCCCGAGGGCTCGGGTGAGTTTCGGATAGGCTACGGGATGTTTTTGACTTAGAAAAATCTGGTATTTTGTTGCAGCAGCTGTTCTGATATGCCCTTCATCGCGTTCGCATAGGTAACATCGCGAACGCGAAAGGTAAAATGGGGGCAGAGGGAATTTCCTCTTCGCGAACGCGAAGGACTGGTCGCGAACGCGGAGCAACGGGGGCATTACCCTTCGCGAACGCGGAGAAATGGGACCTGGGGGAGGGGCAGTGACGATACTCTTCGTGAAAGCGGCACTTGACTCGCGAATGTGTAGGCTGGGGGGGGATAAGCCTTTGCGAACGCGAGGAATATCTCGCGAATGCATAGGCCTTTGGCCGCTGTGTATCGCGATCGCGATGGGCCCTTCGCGAACGCGAAGAAGGCCTGTCCGGTGATTTTAAACGGACCCAAAAACGGAACTTCTTCAAATTTCATATCTCTTTCACTAGAACTCGGTCATGGGCGATTTTTGAAGGGGGAATTCAACACCCAATCATAGGTTTGTATTTTTTAACTCATTTTCTTCAATTTCCATTATCACCCATTAAATTTCTAGTCCTAAATCTTGTTCTTCCATGGTAGAATTAGGGATTTTTGGAAGAATTAGGGGGTTTTGCAAATTGGGAATTTAGACCTTGATTTGGGGTCGAATTCCGGAACTAATTACATATTCGGGCTCGGGGGTGAATGGGTGAATGAGTTTTGGTCCGAACCTCGAGTTTTGACTAAGCGGGCCCGGGATCGATTTTTGACTTTTTGGGAAAATTGTTGGGAAACCTAAATTTATGTATTGAAATGGATTCCTTTAGCAATATTTGATGTTATTAAGTTAATTATGGCTAGATACGAGTGGATTGGAGGTGGAATCTAGAGGAAAAGCGGTAATTGAGCAGTGAGTGGCATGTGGATCGAAGTAAGTGTTGTGTCTAACTTTGACTCGAGGGATTAGGGATCCCCGACTTAATTGCTATGTGAAAATCCATGTGTATGGCGTATAGGTGAGGTGACGAGTACCTATGCACCGCCAATTTATCTATTTTGCCTGTTTTCTTCCCGTTCATAATATATTATTTCTTGCCTTAACTGCTACATGTTTCACTGGTATTTTCATACTTAATTGCTACTTGTCAGACATTGTTTCTCATTGTTGAAGGTATATCTAATCCATAGTTTTATTGTCTCATATTATTGGATTAAGTCGGTTATCGATGTTTTATGGTATTTTGGATTGGTTTCGCTGAGTAGTATAATTTGAGTGAAGTTTCATAATTGTACAGCTTTCCGTTTATTTTAGTTGAGGTCTAAATATTGTGGAGAGTTTTGAGCTAAATTGTGAAATTTTTGTTCTTGTTGTGTGATTGGTACTGATATGGTGGGATCGGGTTGCACGCCACAACAGGAGGAATAAGGGTGATATATTGAGGAGGAATAAGGGTGAAATGCTACTATATGGTGGGATCGGGTTGCACACAGCAACGGGAGTAATAAGGGTGGTGTATTGAGGAGAAATAAGGGTGAATTACTATTGTACGGTGAGACCGAGTTGCACGCGGCAACATGAGGAATAATGGTGGATTGATATGGAGTAATAAGAGTGAATATTCATATTGATATTGACTATATGGTGGGATTGGGATGCGCGTCGCTTCAGTTTATGTGTTATGTATCTTTCTTCTACTGTGTAAGTTATTCTGTAGTTTTACAGTTCACTTAAGGATTGGTTATAGCTGGATACTGATAAAAATACTTGAGTTCTGTATTCATTCCTTGCAAGTTACTGCTTTATATTGTTCCGTTCTTCTTTCTGCTTTTATTATACACTATATGCAGGTTATATTGAAATTGCCCCGCCGTAGCCTCGTCACTATTTCGTCGAGGTTAGGTTCGGCACTTACTAGTACATGGGGTCAGTTGTACTGATACTGCACTCTGCACTTTCTGTGCAGATTTTGGAGCTGGTAGCGGTTGATTGAGAGATTGGCTTCAGATTACACAGTTAGGAGACCCAAGGTAGTCCTGTTGGCGTCTGCAGGCCTTGGCGTCCCCTTCTACATCTCTATATTACTGTTTTATTTATTTCCAAAACAAATGTAATTTCTTTCAAACCGATATGTTTAGAAAATTATAGTATGTTCGTGGATTGTGACACCGGATTCTAGGTAGTAATGGCGATGGTATTGGTAACAGTATATGGACAAAAAGGTTATTTACTTACTTCCGCATTTAATTCTACTTGTTCTAGCTTGTTAAATTTTAATCAATGAAAAGTAAAGGAAAATGGTCAATTAAACTCTAACATTGGCTTGCCTAGCAAGTGTAATGTTAAGCGCCATCACGGTCCCGATGGTGAAAATTTCGGGTCGTGACAACTATTATAGTATACTATATAATGTAACGGTATACTTTTACAATTAAGTCTTTTTAGAATTTTTTGAAATTTTTATTGAAAACTGATATTATTTCAGTTTAATAATTGAATTAAAAAAATCCTTTTTAAATTCTTTAATTGTATACCTTTTTTATAACGACCCGACTGGTCGTTTTGCTTTTTAGAACCTCGTTCCCCTAAATAAGAATCCTTGTACTTACTTTTACTGATGTATGACTTGTGCGGATGGTTGGTCCGGGATTTGGAAGAGTTTGAGTTGAAATGGGAACAATTGGTTCCTTAAGGTTGGCTTAAAAGGCCAAGTTTGACTTCGGGCAGCGTTTTGAGTAAACGACCTCGAAATCAGGATTTGAAGGTTCTAACAGGTTCGTATGATGATTTACTTAGGCGTATGTCCGGATAGGGTTTTGGATGACACGGGAGCGTTTTGGCACTTAATAGTGAAAGTTGATTCCTTAAGGATTTTGAAGTTCTTTAAATTTGGTTTGGAGCAGGTTTTTGTGATATCGAGGTCCGAACGGAATTCTGAGACAGGGAATAGTTCCGTATTG